GAAAGAATTGAACAATAATCGTTTGATTGTTTCTCTGCTATAGATAATCGTCTTCTTTCAGATAATCAACACTGATCCGTTAAAATATTGTGAAGGTGAAAGAAAATGAAAAATTATTCGTAACGGTAATGAATTATTTCTTGTTTTGGTTGACAATGTGATCGGCACGGAATAATTAGGATCTTCGTGGGGATCGCCAGTGTTTACGGTAAGATTTTCATGTAGAAATTAGTTGAGCATTATTGCGGAATTAAGGGATTTATTGTTACTACCGCTATGGTAACAATACAATATATATGCTCTATCAATCAATAAAAAGGTATCAATGATCAGCGTTTGTGATGTTCTGTGTGCTCGGAAAATTTCATAATTTTCGGAAAGTTATCAGAGGTCCGTTACTTATGATGAGGACTGTTTTGTGTAGTATCGTTTATTTTTACGTGCATGTATTACGAATGTTGGCCAATAGCAATTCACCGAGGATAGAAAATTTTCCGTTAATAATTTTATAGAATCAAAATTATTAACCAATTACTTTAGACTGTAAAACGCTGACTATTGTACCCTATCCTGTATAGGATTTAAAACTTAACTTAATCCCATTTTTTTAAGTAAAGCCGATTATATTCTAAAAAATGAACACTGTAATTCAAGCTTCACGGTGTAATTTCTTCAAAAAATATTATTTTAAATTAATAACCTTGAGTTTAAATTAATGTTCTTAGTAGGGATCTATAGTCAGCACTTTACGAGATATGAGTTTTTTTTACAGATTTGCTTTTTAAAATTTTTTTGTCTATGCTTAAGAATTTTAAGATTTTTTGTCTATAATTAAGGTTTTTAAGATTTTTTTGAAAATTATATCTTTTTCTAGAAAAAAACTAAGAATCTATGTTTAACATTTTTTTTGTCTATGATTAAAGATTTTAAAAAAGGTATTAAAAGGTGTTGCCGGAATACTTCAATATTTTTGATTAAAAAATCATGATCATTTTTCATTAATGGAAGGGATTACTAATTGAGAATCCGTTATATATTCAGAAAAAGAGTTTGAATCTATTGATTGAAAATTTGTAAAATTTGTCGCATATCCAAAAGGATATTGGTTGTAATCATTTGTCAAATGTGAAGGAGAGTTTGGAGCAACCGTCAGATTTGTCGCATGTTCAAAAGGAAATTGGTTGTAAGCATTTGTCGAATGTGAAAAAGAATGTGAAGGATCCGTAACATTTATGTATTGAAAATTTATTGCATGTTCAAAAAAAATTTGGTTGTGAGAATTTGAAGAGTTTATAGGATCCGTCAATTTTATTAATTGTGGATTTGTCGGAAATTTAAAAGGAATTTGGTTGCGAGGATTCGTCATTTGTGAAGGGAGGTTTGAAGGGCTCGTCAAATTTGAAGAAATAAATTTCGGCTCTGCGTTTAAGCCCGAAGAAAAACTTTCTTGTTGAACAATTTGTGAGCTAGATTTTTGCGATTCAAGCAACTCTTTCAACTTTTTAGACATTTGTTTATAATGTATTTTTCGATCTCCAAGTTCATTAGCCCAAAGCTCTTTCGCTATTCGACTAAGTCCTTGGCCACCACCACTCATTTTTATGCCTTTCTGGTGTAGCTCTTCATTTAGACAAGCGCGATACATTAGATATGCATTACATTTTGTCGGCGTTTTGCCATTTTTTGTGGGTTTATTAAAATATTCTACCGTTAATATTGGAGGGAAAGTAGGTCTCAAATCCTTATTATTATTATTATTCATTTTTCTGGATAATTGTGCATTTGGAATTCATCTTTGCCTCTTTTATAAAGTTTTTGTTACTCAGAACGAAGTGCAAAAAAATTGATTAGCATAAGTGAATCACACTAAGAAAGACTTAAATGCAGTATTTCAAATGTAAAATGAAAATGCTGAAAAATGATTTGTAATCCAAACTTTTTGTGCGCACGAAAGACATTTTTGTGTCTCTAATCCAATTGCAGAAGCATTGCTAAATGCAAAATGCAGGAAATTCATTGCGCCACAATAATTTACTCTACGTTCGGTAAATTTAAATAAATAGCTTTACCTGTTTTAAAGGCATTCATTCCATGCTGCATTTGACTGAAACGAATAAAATAATTCATCAGAGTAACCATTTGGACATTTAATATCCATTCACAGAACAACTTTGTTTCCTTTTTGGATTAGCGTCATTCTTATTATTGAGACACGAAAAATCAATGTTGGATCTTAATGTCAAATGTCAAATGTCAAATGTTAAATGTTCAATGTTAAATGTCAAATGTTAAATTACAAATATCATTTATTTTTCTCTGTACCTGCCTGGTAATTAATTAGAAAAAAACTTTTTCGAATTTAAAAAAATTCAATTTTTTACTAAAAATTTTATTCTAGATTTTTCTTAGATAAGTTTGAATTAATTGACAACTAAAAAAATACTTAAAGTCACTCTAGTTATAGTGTTGTGTCCGGGCTACAACTCACTCTAGTTATAGTGTTGTGTCCGGGCTACAACTCACTCTTGATATATCGAAAGAATGCTGTATAACTTCACTATATCGAGAGTGAGTTGTATTAGAAAAAATTTTATAAATTCACTATAGCGAGAGTTATTAGTAAATTATTTGAACTCGAGCTCAATATATCGAGTGTTCATTACTAGTAAAAAATTTATGAAATAAGTTCGAAGGTTCAAAAGTTCAAACAGAAATATTCTTTTTCGATTAAGCATTATTTATATCTCGGGAAAGCAATCTGTTTTATATACATGTATAGAAAAAAATACTTGTCAAGTACAGAACACAAATAAATAACGGAAGATATTCTGCGTGATTATCCTTGCTGCCTAAATTTCTTTGTCAAAAACAAAACAAAGTATTTAAAATCTATATTTTTTACTATGTATCTTATGACTTAATTTGCGTCAAATACTACGAAACTTTTTTTTTTGATATCCCTTAATTAAGAATTATCTATTGATTATATTTGTAATTTTTGTGATACTCTCGGATCTATAAAATGACGACTTTAACGTTAAAAACATCTTTCTAAAACACATTGAATCAATTCGTAACAATTGATTTTAGGAAATACATGTATCTTTGTCAAGAAAAATCATTAAGCATTTAAGCAGGTCGCTTGCAGGATATGCATGCAGAATGGCATTTGTGCCAGATTTTTTGGGGCACACCCAAACAAGTATACAAGCACATTTTCATATTATTTTGCATTATGTGCTATTATTAGCTTAGCTACAGTTTAAAAATTCTTGTTTAGTGTTCAATCAAACAATGATTCATTTGTCCATTAGAATTTTATTATCAAACTAGCATTTTATTTTGAAAAAAATATCTTGTAGGCTTTTCATTAACTTTACATTAGGAATGGGCGTGTTTTAACGTAATCGAAAAATTAATTTTAATATAGCAAGCGAAAAACGGATAAAAAATCTCATACATTTACATGTATTTGACTTAAAAGAAACATACCCTCTTGCCAGAAGTGTCAAATGTCTGCTGAGTGAAGCAACACCTGCTACAACATCTGTATTCATTTAATCAGTGTAGTATCATTATTGACGTGGAGAGCACAGATAGCATTTGTCATTCATATAATGCCTAAAATGATGATAATACAATTATTTAATCTTAATGTTAACGTTAAATCCAATTAAAAATATAAATAGCGTCGTCATGAATGAACAATATCCTTTTTCGCATATTGTAACGGTAATACATGTACACATAATTAAATCGAAAGAAAATCTTTTTAATCAAAAAGATCCTATATATAGTTTTTTGATGGGTGTGAATCGCCGGGTTGTGATTGACCAATCAAATCGCAAGATCAAAGTGACACCGCTGCGACAAGTACATTTTGTGAAACAAACCTACATCACCTACCTAAAATAAAAAACAAAGTTTTAGGATTCATTTCGGAATTAAAACAAATAAAATCATATTTTTCGAACTGTATTATTTTTGGATAAAGACACTTGGCACTTACGTACACAAATACGCAAAGCTTTCGCTATTTACTTTGTTTTCTTGACTAATTCAGATGAACACTATGGTATATTTATACATAATTCATTGCCAAGGGAAATTTGTGGACTTGCATTGAGAGAATTATATATAAGTTCCGAATTGCTTACTTCCAAACTACCAAATGCCTCTTTTCATCGAGTTATTTATTACGATTTCAAATTTATTTTCGCGTTATTTATTCGGTTATGATTTTAAAAAAAGGTGATTACCGTAAACTACCGTAAATGAGCACCACTTTTTAAGTTCGGTGGTACTTGTTTCTGGAAATTTCCTCATAATTTAAAATTATCACCATTTAAAGCGATTTTAGATATATTTTTGTAATTTAAATTTAGTGGCGTTTATTCACTGTTGTTCATTGTTTTGCTATTTTTGGATTGAAAATATTTAGTATTAGTTAAATTTATGTGTTAATCGAAATTGCATAATAGTTTTCTGAACATATTATTTGTTATTGATTTCGTTTAAACATTGCATTTACAGATTATGTCTCTCTTCTAATTGTCAACTGTCAAGGAAAAATCAAATAAAAGTATTTACATTTAGCTTGCGTTGTACATTTTACATATGAATCATTGTACTCTTTGTGTTTAATGGTTCAATTTTTTGAGCAAAAATGAAATAAAGTTCTATTCAGTTATTTTAAGCCAAATTATTGAACAATTCCAAATACGAAATCACTTTATTTGGATAGCACGCTTGCAATTTTTAATTTAATTTGTATTGCAAACTTTCTCAAAGATAATGTTGAATCGCATTACTTTGTGCAGTTATATTTTATTTACGCTAATATTTATCACTTAAATTGCAATCTTACTGCTCTTCACAAAATTGGACACATGAATTAATTTTTTTTATTTTATCGGATTTATTATAATTATCTTTTATTATTGCTATTACAATAAGCTATAAATGCTCACTATGCAAAACTTCTCGATAAAAAATGAATCTTAACGTAAGTTTCATAAGTTATTACCTTTGAAAATTATAATAGCTAGAAAACTGCACAACTAATCTTAAGATACAATTTTTTAATAAATATTGAAACAGCCAAATTACTACTCTTAAATAAACATAAAAATGTCCTGAAAAGCACACTGGACATTCAACAGAATAAATCAAACCAAAAAATAAATTATTCAAAAAAAATTTAAATGTAGTCCGATATTTTAATGATCATTCTAAACTTAGTTAAAGTGCTTCTTAATTAAATTTGTGAATTGAATTAAATTTTGGAATTACTTATTAGCTAAGAAATAGAATTTAAAATTGACTAATTGCATATATTTTAATCGTATGGTGCATAAAATCTAAAGTCATCAAACAAAATTTAATCCGTGAATATGCTCAGAAAGGCCTATTCTATCATATTCACGGATTAAATTTTGTATTTACTTCTTAGTAAAGAAGTTCATACATTTTATAAAATGCAAACGTTTGATGACTTTAGAATTTATGCACCATATAGCCAAAGAATGATTTTGAGCTCAACTTTCTTATATAAAGAGTTTCTTATATCGAGAGTCTAGTAGATATTGAATTATGAATCTATTCTGTTAAAATATGTAATCTCACTAGACAATCAAAACATATCTAATTCTACATTACTAATTGAATTTTGATTCTGGCCTTATTATTAATTATAATTGGGCTCGAATATTAGTAATGCATTATATTAGGTCGAAATAAACTAGTTAACACCGATATCAATTAAACAAATATAACATGCATATACCAATAGATAGCAAAGACGCTAAAGAATTTTTTTGTACTGATCAATGAAACATAAAATAGAAATCAAGATTAATAATAGTATTTCTGAGAATAAAACGAGTGATATTTCACCCATCGTTTGATAACTCAAACACCATATCATTAATGTGTGCAATCTCACTACCACTTAATGTGCAAGTATTCCTTGCTCTATTACCAATCAGCCTTGTTATTTAGCAAATTCTTAACGCCGAATCTACGCTCAAATTAGAATATTCAGATAAGACACTACAATATGTTGATATTAGAAATTATAGTTTCAGCCGAGGATTATTCATCACTCTGCCATAAGCTGCAGTAAGTGTGAACAATTTTGTTCTTGATAGGATTGGAACAATTTTCTTTCGGAAAATTGGAGTTTATCCATACTGACATTAATCATTTGCCATGACTATTAAAATGTTAAATTTCTGTAAAAAAAAGCACCATACATTCTTTGACGCTCAATATGCAAACTCGGTATATTAAGAATTCATTTATTGCTCACACTCGTAAAATTCCATTTTTGTCGAATCAAGTCTTTTGGATTGATATCTGGAGGAAAAGGGACATCAACGGGCGGTACCATCTCCGCTGGAATATTATGTAAACTTACTCGCATTTCTTTCGTGATTCTCGCAATCTTCCAATTCATGAATAAATTTATCGAGATTATCGTAGCGTCATTCGCATTTGTGTTGTTTGATGAATCAATCATCTTGTTTGTAATCTTTGAATCAGAGAGTATGAATCATGCCACATATTTTGAAAAACCTAATTGTATTGAAAACAAATATACTATTTCTTTTCCACTTTTGATAATATAATAATTTACTTTAAATTGTGCCAATACAAAAATTACTGAATCCAACATGTTCATATTATAATTTCAAGTAGCTGCTGAATTTTTAGCTAGTCTATAGTGCACCTTAAAGCTGTATGAATTTATTTTTGTAAACTCTAATGTTATCTTGTTTTCAACACAACCGTCATGCAATGATGTTTTATAAATCGCTTCAAAACCTCCTTTTACAAGATATTCAACATTGAAAAGAGATTCATTCGAAATATTTTTAGAGAAAATGTATTTGTCGCCACCGACGACAGTCTCCAGTCACGTGTAGAGTTTCGGTTGAGGTCAAGGTTAAGATCATATAGCCAAATTTCGCGTTTTTTTGAATTTTGGCGTTACACTTTGAGCTTGCGATTTTTGATTGGTTGGTTACAATAATTTTATGCATTATTTTATCAACTTTTATCGTTATGGCTAACAATCTCGGAAATAACGTAAACAAAAACGATACATGTAGTTTATTTTTTGTCGGTGACGTTTAACATTAACTAATGAACTACATCATATGCACATGACTTGTTGTGATTGGTTATGCTTGATCATGCTTGATCTATAAAAGCTCGAATCTTGGTGACAAAAATCTGTTGCTTCAGGAAGCACGAATAAAATTTTATGTATTAGCTTTTAATTAGCTAACATTTAATTTCTCTGAACAAATACCGAAAAACAAACATGATGTTAGTTAACGAAAAGAGCAAAAAATGAAATTCCATTACAACGTGTTGTTCCGCGTTTTCTATCGTATATTATTATACAAGTATTGCTAGAAAAAAACGATAACACCTAGACAAGTTTCAAGAATTCCCAATGCATTTATCGCTTATCATATGTTTGTATGGAAGGAAGTTTATTTGACGAGTCACCCGGTAATTATGCAACCACAATTTTCATCAATTACATTATGACCCGTTGTTCAATCCCAATAATTTCAATACCACCGTTGTTAGAAACATTGGTCGCAGAACAAATTTCAAATGATATATTAACCCCTAAACCTCCATATTTATCCATCCCCGTATATATCAACAAAATAGCCCGGTCTCATGATGTTGATAACAATGAAGGACGACTGTAATTCACCCGTGTCAAAATTTTTTATTTCTATATTTTTGCTTGTGTTAGTTGCGTCAATAAGCAATGTCCATTCTTCCGATCTTTCGATCTTCACATTAGCTTTAAGTAATTTTTTAAAAAACTTTTGACTTCAATAATAAGATATGTGATACACATTCTTTATTCTAACAATTATCCAAGCTTAAGTTCACAGTTATAGATGCTGTTCAAATTCCAAATAATTGTAAAATAAACATTCCATATCCAAAATTTTTCCCACGTTTGTATTCCAATAATTTTATTAATAACTTTAATTTAAATAAAATGTATACATAATTATAAATACAGTCACACCTCGATATAGTCACGCCATCGGGAAATTAAAAAAATAGTGTACATATAGGAAATTGTGCATATATAGAGGTATTTTTTAGAAGCTCTATATTAATTGGTTTTAAATGTACGCGCCTATAAAAATGCTCATATAGAGGATTTTTTTGTATAGTTGGTTTTAAATTGGGTGTGCTTATATCAAGGTTTTCATATGATGTGCTTATATCAAGTGTGACTATATCGAAGTGCGACTGTATATAATATATTTGCAAATTTTTAACGGAAATTTGGTTTCAATTTTTTATAAAATCAAAAGATTTTTTTAATTTTCCAATTTGTCCATTTGGCCAGCAAGTATACCTCGATTTGAGTGCTTCAGTATGTAAAAGTTGTTTCTAAAAATAAATTCATACTATCTTTTACATGTATACAATAAATAAAGAGTTTACGTTACTAAAGATATTTCTAAATTAACAGAAATTATTTTTCTTGTCCACCAAAACGAGATATTTCCTCTAAAAGGAATAAGCTTTTTATCAGTTTCAGCCCATAAAAAAACAATGATAGTATCATGCAGATAATTATGTGTTTGTTTTGTTCAGTCCTATAAGAAAATACGACTGTAAATTTGAATATATGTCTGTAAATAAATGCGGAAATATACGAAAAAGTCTAATATATCTGTAAATTATGAAACAGACTTTTCCAATCTTGCATATGCGATTTACGTGTTTATCTTTAGATAACACGTAAAAAGTGACCTTTTATGTGTCTTTTCGTATATTTCCATACTTTTTTACAGACATGTTACGTGCAAATTCTTTTATATGACAAAGAACTCAGAAAAGGTGCAAGAATCCAAAATTTACGCAACCCTCATTTTGTAAGATATATTCGGGCTTCTTCTTTTAAAGTAGTAACATTCAAAATGTCAAAATCACGAGGTGTTAGTGTAATATGTGATTAATTAATATTATGTCTGTTTATAACTGACACTATAAATTAAAATATTTACTTGTCACAATAATGGAAAAAAATATATATACGAATTCATTCTAAAAATTTTCCATTTGAGATTAATGTTAAATTTAATAATTTAACTACTGTATGGGCTGTACTGTTACCGGGTTGGAGATAATTTCGTTAATCCCACAATTTGGTAAAGCTCGCCTGGCCCGATCCCGTTAGTCTATTTTATTCGCTCCAAAATTCTATATTTTAATTTCTATTTTTATCTCACTTTTGGTTTCAAGCCTTAATCATATTTAAATTCTCTCTTAAATTCTCTCATAAACAATATAGTGTGTGTGCATTATGCGTTAAATTCTCGAATAATGCTTTACAATGTAATTAAAAAGATGTATCTAATCCTCAAGGGCATTAATAAAAATTCCGAATTATTAGCGTACAATTCTTCTCCAAGTAATTGAGACTTGTGAAATTGTCGTAATTGATTGTGGTTAGGGCCTTTGATCCAGAAAAGGCATTGTTATTGTTAACGACATATTGATTGATTTTGTTGTTGAATAGTTTAAGGCTTTAGCTAGAAAAGCAACGATTGCAAGTTAATATTGAAGATATTATTTATAGAGTACCCATTGTGTAAAATATAGAACCCGAAACCATCCAAATTCTCGTCTCGACCGTTATATGGTGCGAACGGCTTAGTCACAGCAAATACTGCACCACTGCTGAATTTTTTTTTTGAATTATCATTTCCAAATAAGTTATTATATGCAATGCTAATTAGAATTTTACATGATGAAATCCGGCCAATCAAAAATAATACATGTGATATTTCAGGTGCTGAAAATTCCTCTATTATTATTATTAAAATTGATGCTAAAAAAACCTAATTTTTATAATAAAATGAACAAAAAAATACGTTACATTATAGAACATATCAAAGGCTATTTGATAATGTATTTTTTTATGATTAATTATTTAAATAAAAATCCTTTACACTTCAAAGTCATTGGATGGCTTTAGACTGTTTGCACCATACTGAACGATATCGGCACAGGAATTAGAAACTAACGTATATTACTCAGTCTATTCACTTACGATCCACCCCTCCCTTGTAAAAAATTTAAACTCTAATTTGAGATCGAAAGATAAACGCATATAACTTGTATTAATGGATTTACTAATTCCCCTAAGTTCTGATTGGACGCAGGTAAATCGATCACGTCATATTGTATATACATGTATAATCAACTACTCCAAGGATGGGAAATTCTATGGTAATATTAAGATAGCCAGAATTAGAGTGGAGAGCAAATTTACATGTAAATTTGCCTCCCGACATGTTTATTAGTGCTCTATAAAAAAAATGTTCAACTAATGTCCGACAAATGTCCAAATTGTTTGTTCAACATTATTTTACAACATTCATGCAACAATCATTCAACAAAAGTAGCATTTTTTCATGCGATAAATGTTGAACATTTTATTTAATAACCAATCAAATCGCAGGATCATGTGTAACAGAAAAATAGCTTGTACGTATATAACTAAAGATTGATTTTAAGCTTAGGGTTAGGGTCAGGGCTAGACTTGAGAGCAGGATTATATATAAAATTGCCTCCCCGACATTTTTTATTAGTATAGATTTAAGCATCTGTTTTCCATTATTTTTCATATGTTGTTCGCACTTCGGATTTGTTTTGTCGGGCTGTTCAAAAATTTACGCATCCTTATTGGTTTGTGTTTCGGACTGATTATCAGATGTACCCGGCTTTAGCGTATCCCTAAATTAGGCAATTTGAAATTTGGTGGTCATTTAAAGGTTACACAATTAGACCATACCTATCGCTATTGATAGATTGATAACACATTTTTACAACTACGTATGTACGTAGTTTGATCATTTTTCATTTTCCATTTAGGCATCCCAAATTCCGAAAGAATAAAATATTTATTTCTTACTCTAAAACAATTTGCTGTGCTTACGGAGTAAAATATTTCAAAAGCGGGATGTGTGAGACAAAAAATTTGTGATTTTCTTTCATTTAGGTCATTTGAGAAATTGTAACGGAGTAAGATATTTCATGAGTGAGACAAAAAATTGAAACGGTTTCAATAAAAGAATTATTAATAATGTAGTCCGTAAAATCGATAAAAGTGAACAAATCAGAAAACCAAATGTAATTGTAATTGTACAATATCCACCTGAAATTATGTCAATTGGACTGATCCGAAAGGCAATTTTGAAAAGAAATGATTTCAACAATACACTTCTACATCAATTTAGGATTTTCACTCTGTCCAACAGGATCAGGATATCGTTGAAAAGAGTATTGAAAATGTTGCTTCAGGGATTATCCAATTTTCATTATGCAACTTTCACTTCATGTAACGCTAGAAGGGAAATTCAAAGTTTATCGTTATTATTATATTAACTTATCAATAAATAAATAACCAATGAACTTGAAGTGTTTATTTTTTTACCCCTTGATTTTACAAAAAAGTAGTTAATTATAAAAAACTTGATTAACAAGAATAACGAAAAAGTAAGGTTCCTTCTGCGGCGGAACATATAATAAAGATTTCTTGGCCTGTCTCATGTGATGCATTTGGCCGGTGTTAATTTTACGGACAATATAATTTTTATTAGTTTATTGTATTTAACGTACATATTGAAATTAAAGTTACCTGGAAAACCTTACACAGGTAGAAAAGGGTTGGTTCTTTTTGTGAACTCTAGAGGAATTCCGGATTTCCTAGTGGCTTTGTTGATATTCATATGAAATTTATTGGAAACCACTAAGACTCACCCCGCCATCTGAGGCACGACATATTTGTTTGTATTTAGAATAGTCTTTTTTTCTATAATTAACTCGGCATAAAATTTCCGAGTATCGTTATATAAAAATAATATTGTCGTATCGTTATACAATACATGTATAAAGAATGTGCAAGTATAAAATGACACGTTGACATTTCAACAATCTTTACTCTCATATCGTACGTAAACTTGACACAATGCCACGAGATATCAAAAAAAACTCTAATGCTAAAGATAGTAAAAGTTATATCAAAAACTATATGCGCGACAATCAACTCAAACATGAAGTATCACTCGATAATTTTCCAAAATTATTACATTTAACAACGAGTTTTCAGGGAGAAATCATTTTTCATAGACATATCGAAATTCCGGAAGCGATACAAATATTTAATAATATTCAAGATAAAAAACCAAAGCTGGGCAAAAGTCCTAATCCGTTTTTAATATTTCGCACTTCGATCCAAACATTATGTAAAGACAGTAAACTGGAAAGACACCATGTCTCAAGCATTGCTAGTGCAGCATGGAAAAATTCATCTGAAGATATAAAAGACTGCTTTAAAGATTTATTTGAAGAAGTCAAAATTTTAATTGCGAATGCTAAAAAAACAACAGATTCTGTGCAAGGTTTGCCTTTGTTAAATGTATCTTTGCTTTGTTAAAATGTATATTGCTTATTTTTTATACTTATTAAAACTTAATTATAGTTTTTTTATATGAAAATGCTGTGGGTTCTTCAACTCTTACCAATTATTATTCATGTGACAATTGTTTTTCCACATTTTTGGACTTGACAAAACATCACTATTCGTATGAACATTGTACCAAAAATATTCCAGTGCCTCCGTTGTCTCAGCCGATTCTCTCCGAAAACCCAACCTTTTTATATTCTCACGAACCTATGCAAGTGCCTTCAACGCCAATTTTTACCAAATATATGTAAGTACCCTCACAGTCTCAGCCGACTTGTTCAATCGATGAAAATTTGGAATATATGATCTGGTTATAAGCTCAATTTTCGTTAAAATTTCAAAAATAAGAAACCAACAAAATTTATTATGATATACATATTTCAACTAACCAAGAATAAAAATGATGTTATCCTATAATGTCAAGATTTTTATTCTTTTATATTTTCTCTAATTTTGGTTTCTGGATAAAATAACAATATAAAAATATATTTGTAGCGAATACCTAAATTTCGGAATTATTTGAAAAAATTAAATGCATTAGTGTATAGCAATTATTTGTAATTTATAAATTCAATAAACTCTTAACTAAGAAGTGAATCCAAAATTTACTTTGTGAATATGATAGAATAAGCCTTTCTTGATCAGATTAAATTGATCAAATACAAACTACATGTATTAAAATGTTTTTTTTAGTGGTTCTTATTCACGAGTTCACTACTTTGTTTCCTATTTACGTATAATACGTAGTACATGTATATAAATGTTGTGTCTCAGAAGATCAGCTACGTCTCATGAAGACCGGAAATCTTTATTACATATCGATATAGTAGATTTTATGTACGTAGTCCCTGATTCGCAAAAAAATAGGTTATTTGCTAGAATATGTTGATCACAAAAAAGTTACATACTGGTTTGATCCCGGTTATTATATAATCTATATAATCCAGATTAGAGAAACAAACAGTTAAAGTTCGATAAACCGAAGGCCTCGGGTTATTCAAGAATAAACTTCGCTTAACGTTATAAAGTACTATTTATATTATTCTTCGTTTATCAAGCCATTTGTTAATATGTTGTTCCTGAAAATTCTTCATTTTAACGCGAGTTCGCTTTATCGAGCTTTATGAACTTTAACTGTAGCTGGTTTTCTTTGAACGTACGTAGTTTGCTAATTTTTGTAGATCAGTTTTATTTTGCTAAAATTCTATTGGTTGATAAAAAATAGTATACGTACTTTCTTAATGATTAAATCGAATAAGTACTATAATGATGCGATAACGATAGGTATGATTTTTTTTAGCATTAGTTTAGCATTAACAATTACATTTACCTAATTTGTTCTAGTGTTTTCTGCATAATGCTTTGCCAAATAAATTGAAATGTTTGTTAATATCTGTTATAGTCACTTTATTAGATACTATAGGAACGCCATTCTTTTCATAATCACAAAATCATCTTTCCCTCCATGTCACAGTATTCTGCCTTTCTTCTCACCAACAGGACGCTGTACAGGCAAAATCTAAAATAAATAGTAAATTAATACGTATAAGTATATTTTATTTTGTCAAAATTCTAATTCTGAAGTACCAAATTGTAAAAGCTCCTCTGTAGCTAATTTCCGAATTACTTCACCTTTTTTCAAATTAATTTAACAGTTTACATATAGAATATAACGTATATTTCTAAGTCGAAAAAAATTTATTGTCTGCGAATTCGTCTCTGGCTGTGAATCCATTTAGGAAAATATGCGGTGACACATTTCGAAGATCAACCAATCAGATTTAAGCCCGCTGATTAGAAATGCAGTCTTAAAAAGGCTAAATATTTTTCCTTTAGAATAAATGCGGTACATATATGTATTGCATGTTCTGAATCAACCAATCAAATTACATGCAATTAAAGTTTCGATCATGATTAAAATTAGGGTCAGGTTAAGGTTGAAGAGAAAGAGAAAGTACACATGTATAGCAAAATGTGGCAAGGAACATTTTTTGTTAGTCAGTTTCATAAGCAAAATTTTGATACAAGCTTTGAGGTTATTATATCCAAATGTTATTATGTCAAATACAGTATACGTATATTAGAGTGTTAAATGTTATTTTAAGAGTGTATTTGTATTATACTTATTTTGTCTGTCACCTTTATTAGCTTATTTTAGGATTCGCTGTTTAAGGGAAAAAGGCTTATCTATACGTATATCGCCTCCATACGGTACATATATACGTACATACATACATGTACAGTACCCCCAAAAAGTAACGCCCGATTTAAAATTAAACATAAAAATTTTAACACTTTTCCGATTTATTTTATTTTCAACAATTTATACACCAAATAAAACTTATATTTAATTAATATTTAATTGACCCTCCATTTGACTCAATTCTTCTTGGCAGTGAGGAAATAACATCTTCAAAAACAGAAGGATCAAGTTTTTCCCATTCCTTCTTTAACGCGATTTTAAGTTCATCTA